TCTCTTCACCCCTCTTCTGAGCCCAAAGCAGTGTCGTAGTGAAGAGCGAGAACCCCGAAACCATCAAATGCACACCCTGGCTGTGTGACTTACTCGGTAACAGGCTAGCAGCCTAACCTCTGTGAGTCCAGCAGAGCCTCATCCACAAAAGGGCAGGGAAAACTCTACGCAGTCCCTAGGTTGCTGAGGTGTAAACTGCCCTTGAGGCTCAGAGTGGATGGCCTTCAAAGGCAGCGCATCCCAGTAGTCAAGGGCGCAGACCACCTGAATACAAGTTCCTGCTCTGTGCCTCGGTTTCCTCAGCTGTAAAACAGGTAATAATAGAATCTACCCCCCCAGGCTTCTGCAGTGGGAGGAAAACGCATTAGTACAGTGCCTGGCACATGATAGATCTATGTAAGTACTGGCTATTAACATGATATATTCCACCCCCTCATTTTAATGGCGGAGGTTCTGAGGCACAGAGCAGAAAAGGGCCAAGGAGGTGGTGGCCTAGCTGGGCCCACAGTCTCGTCTTCTTTTTCACCTGATGGCTGCCTTTTGACTCTGCTTAACTAGGTCTCAGCTCTCTCCTACAGAGGCACACCTTATGACTCACAGAGGAGGGAAAGAGAAAGGTGGGGGAACCCCTCTTCAGGCAGATCACAGCGGGTGGGGGTGGGGTTCAGCCTCCCCTCTCCTCTGAGCACTCAGGGCTAGAGGAGGGCTATTTTCCTGCCTCCAGGAGACTCCTTCACACCTTGCTGTCTTCCGTGCTGAGCTTGCCGCCCCTTCCTCCTTAAAGCCCTCCCTGAGCTCATGATCGACACTCACCCTGCCCAACGGGAAGGGCGTGTTCCCGCCACGGACTCCCACAGCACCAGCTCCTCCTCTCCCACTGGCACTAGTGTCTGCACTGCAATCCGGGCTACCAGAGTGCAAACCTCTCTTTCTGCGGACCCTACCTGTGGCCTCGCCCGTACTTCACCCAGGCCAGGTCCCTAAGATGCCAGCTTGTCATTCGAGTGAGTTTAAGGGTGAGGGGATAAATGAGTGAGGGAGGGAGCGAGCGAGTATGAGTGAGTGAGAATGAGTGGGTAGGTGAGTGGATTTATTCCCTAGGCTTAGGGTTCCCCACGCAAGTTCAGGTTTGGCGAAGGAAGGGGGCGGAGGGGTGACCTGTGGTTGGCCCTGACTCACAGGGCACCTGAGGATGGGGCTCGAGGGGGACCAGGTAGGGTGCTGGGGGACATTGGAGGGATGCCAGTCCCGTGGAAACCACCCACTGTTGTCCCCTCCTACCTCCGCCTCCGGCGGAGATGGACCTGGAACATACCTGTTCCAGGGACCCTCAGCCATACCCACGACCTGGCCCACCGCACCCACTCCAATTCAGGGCTACAGACACAGGGAGTTCCTCACTCCCTCCCCTTCACCTCTTACTGCTGTGGTTCCCTCAGCCTAGAATGTTTTCTCCATCCATCCACCCCTCCGCTCGCACCCGCTGTCAAGTGCCTACTCATCCCTAAGGCTTAGCTCTGGGACTCTCAGCCCAGCCTCTCATCAGAATCGCCTGGGGAGCCTTTAAAATTCACAGTGACTGTGATGGAACTGAGGTCCTGATTTACTTGGTTTGGGCCGTAGCTTGAGTACATTTTTCTGGTGACTCTGATGGACAACCAGGCTTGAGAACCGAGAATCTCGTTTAAATACCAGCTTCTCCATGAATCTTCCAGAACTCCTTTCTTCCTCTCTTGAGCACGCCTGGGGGGGTGAGACCCCCTCCCAGCACTGGGCTGCCCCCTTCTAGGAGGTTCCATCCTCACACCTGTCTCGCTCGCCTGTCTGCCAGGATGCCCCTGTGGGCACAAGCCTTCTCATGCTCGCCCAGCCCAGGGGTGCACTGAACCCCCCCTCTCACCTCTACTCTTCCTCCCTAGATGCTTCTTATTGTCCAACCCCAAATGCACCCGACACCTGCGATGCCGGAGCAACGGCCCTGGGCCGGGAGGCAGGACACCTGGCTCGCAGGCCCACCTCGGGGTTCCACTTTCCCGTCCCTCAAACGAGAACCGTGCACCAGACGTTGTTGTGGTTTCCTGCAACTGGGCGCTCATCTGGGCCCCTTGCCTCAGTCTCCCTGGCCGATGGGGCCTAGAATCCACGGTTTCAGCCTCAGTTAGGGCTGAGCCAGCGCTCGGCTGGAGGGAAAGGCCAGCATCGCTGGGAGCGGCTCCATTACCAGTTAATGTTCATTGACTGGCCGGGAAGCTTGGCCCGGAGGGACCGTTACACATAACTGGGCTGCAGATGAATCAAGTATTTAAACAGATGGTGCTCAGAAGAGCTCCCTGTGCACGAGGAGGGTCTGGAGGGAAAAGAGGATCCCTTAAGTCTGGGCAGACAGCCCCACCCGCTAGCTACGGAGGCATGAGTGAGGCTGGCAAGGCCTCC